TAATTACCACTTCTCTGCCCAATACTATCTGTATCAGAGATACTGCTTTCCACATACTACAGACACCTTCAGAACAACCATGCAAGCCTAATCTCTTCCGACAGGACAACAGTAAAGGGCAGTCTCAGGTTTGTACACAAGTGTCGATCAAGTTCTCAACTACCATTCAACGGCAAACTTATCCTGGGAGAGACAGACCTGTAAGTTGTGCTTCCATCTGTTTTTTAAAGTTCTTCTACCAGAAAAGGTAACCCTCCATTTATAACACAAGCTACAGTTTTCTTGTTGCACAGATACAAAAAACCTAAGTTTAAACAATACAGATGTATTTACTGGCATTAGGAAGAGAAAAGATGGGTTTGTAACTAATAACAGGAGTGTTAACATAAATAATATGCTGACCCTAATTCTGTCAACAGAGCAGGCAATCTCTTCAGAGTACAATGTCTGCATTCCATTAGTAAGTATAGCTATTGGGAATTTAAACTTCAAAATAACGTTTTTTCAGCATTTCAAACTTTTGAGCATTGGAAGAGGCATTGCATGGAAATCAAAAGTATAACTAATAAATAAAGGAAATAATTACGTGCCAGGAATCATCATATTTTCACTGAAATGACCGTACCAGTCAGGAGACTGAACAAGATGTTTTGCTATCACAAAATATCTTCTACACAAATACTTCCTGACATTAATCAACTACATCAAGTTCGTCATCAGCTCACAAGACAGGTTTGGTTTTGGCAACAGCTTAATCAAGCAATTAAAATACAGAGGTCAAAATCTGAATGTGCTGGCTATACAAGTTTATTTTAATTAGTGAATTATCATCGACCATATGTTTTGATATTTTAACTTCAAAGGGGTGAAACGCTACAGAAGAAAGCAAAGGCTGAAGCAAAATGTGAGATTCAGATGCCGAAAAAATAACATTTGCCAGAATGTAGGTAAATGTTTGTTTTCTAAACTACTACTGCTGTTTATCTAGAGATTTTGGCCAGGTTAAGTAGGAACATAATTGCATGACGTTTTTAACACCTGGGGGATTTCTGCTTAAGTTTGCCACCTTAGATCATCATCTATGTCCTAGAGCAACTGAATAAACATTGGAGTTTCAGACAACCTAAAAGACATCAGGAACAGACAGATAATTACCAACAAGAAAAACTGATAATGGCAAAACAACCAAAAAAATACTATAAATAAAAGTACGACAGACATGAGTTTTCACTACGACCTAGACTAGAAAACCCCAAAAACTTAAATCAGACAGCCAAGGTGGGTGTGGCATCCATTAAGGAGAAAACCATCCCAGCTTTTTGCCACAGTGCCTGCAATATGTCTCTTGAAGAGTTAATAAAGGAAAAGCCAGCACTTTCCTAGAAAATAATTGCACACATTGTACTAAGCTTTATTTCTGGCTTCTAAGCTTCTTTAAATCAAGCCTGGGATCAAAATTCTATTCATAAATCTACCCAGGTTTACACGTTACTTTTAAAAAGTTTTTTTAACAGATACAAGTTGTATGTTTAAGCAATAGACAAAAAAATAAATAACACTGAAAAGTACTTAAATAATTTTTACAACATTGAAAAAAAAAATCTATTAATCATGTAACTGTCAGCAGGAATACAGCAAAACCAATTACTGGAGCCATTCTGTAGAAAACATACCAAAACAGAACATTGTTTATAAACCACAGGGACATGGAGCAGCACTGGACCTATTAAACTCCAACAGTAACAGCAGCAGACTCGATTCCAGGAGCTTTCAGTCTCCTTTCAAGAACTCTGATGTAGAAAGGTGAAATGTTTTGCATTCACTCTCTCAACACCTCTTATTTTATACAGCTTTGTATTTTACTAAAATTTGACAGTCTGTCATGCACATAAAGCTGTGGGATTCATTACCTGAAAATCCAACAAAACCACCAGCACACAAAAGTGATTTCAAGATATTAATGTCTTAAAAAGTCTTACTTCTCAAATCATTATGAATAGAAATAGATGCTATTAAAAAAACCCCAGACAAGTACAGAATATGTCACTGCCTTCCACTCAACTGTAACCAAAGGAAGGTATCAGGAAGCATCAAAACTTGAGTTACAACAATACATTGCACCTATGGAAGTGTCTCTTAACAAAGAGCAATGTTAATTTCAAATAGTGTGTTCTGCTTAGCTATCTGCCATCACACTGATGAAGCATCTGTTCACCAAACAGTCTTTAGGTTCATTAGCCATGTTCTTGATAACACACACATATCAGCTTCTCAGTCAGAACTGGTCACAGTGCTAGCTGGAATGCACACATGGCAAAGAGTAAACCATAAACTTGAAGACTATCAAGTCATGCTGCAGTCTCTTATCAAAACTTTGGAACAGAACTTACTCAGCTCATTTTTTTCAAAATTTAAGCGAGGTGCTTATGTAACACTGATGTACCTACAGCCACAGCTAACCTATGATAATCTCTGTTAACAAGAAGTTTGCATTCGCTATACATTGGGATAAAAATTTACCCATTTCTAAGGGAAGTATTTGCAAAAGGAAGAAATCCAATACCAAACTCAACCTTTAGTCAGAAATCTGCTCTGTGTAAATTTACCAGGAACATGTGGATCGACACTAGAGAAACTGAGCAAAGAGTGTTACCAACTGTTTTTGTAATGGTCCAGACAAACATTTAATAAAACAGTTTAGCACATAAAAAGAAACAGAAAATAATTTCATATCTACTAGCGGCTACTTCTACACAACAAAAATAAACAATGAGCAGGTGGACCAAGAAAAGTTTTTTTTTTCATTCTGACAGAGATTTGTTTGGTTTGGTTTGTGCTTTGTTGATTTTTTTTTTTTAAGTACTAAATGAAAGCTAGCAGCTAAATGCCTACAAAAACAAAGAAATTCAAAACACTGGAGCAAAGAATAATGCCATCATTCGGAATGAGTTCTGGACATGTTTTGAGTAATGCCTCAAAATCTCAATCTCCTTCAGTGTGCGTTCTCCTTTCGGGAAGTTTTCCCTTCCTCATCTCAAGTACCAAAGAAAGCCACAGCACCGACTACACATCGACTCCAGCATAAGTATCTGGCTGACAACCAGAAGCCCTGAATTCCTTTACCGAAGGATGCCAACTCACACACTTCACAACTTCATTCTTTTAATCCCCAAGAAATTGCCCAGAGTCACATAGTCCAGATAAGAGACATGCCTGTGATGTCACAGGGATGACACAGAGCTATAAACCAGCAGCCAGACATACACTGCCGTAGGAGCACCCCCTGAGCAAGCACAAAACAAAGGAATCCTGACCTACTACTTTCTGGGCTGTTGATTAAAAAGGAATAGACAAAGGTTCTCTCATTTTCCTCCAGCAGTATCTGTGCAGATATTAAAGTAGAGAAAAGGGGTATGCCTGATTTGGGAAGTTTTGACCATGCTATAAACTCACCCTTACCAGAAAGTAAGGTTCTGAAGTTTATACCATTCTCAGAAGTATTTTAGAAACTTCCTTTCATGTTAATGAAATTTTTATAATTTTGTATCACTTAGTCTCTAAAGGAAACAAGATAAAGAAGGTATCTGACAATATCTGGGACATCATATCTTAAGGAAAAGCAGCTTTTCAATTTTTTTCTATCTGACAAAACAGCATAACTTTCTCTATGAGAAAAAATACCATTTTTTCAGATCTCATTTCTCACATTAAATCTACATAGGAAACTGAAATGAATCCAACAAAACCTATAACTTCAGGAATCACTATGAATGTATCCATCTGGAGATGAATAGAGATTTGAGCATTTGCATAGGAGAAAGGAATATGACAACCAATATTCTTCACTAAAACTTTGTGACAAGCCTAATATATTTTTCCAGGGAGGAAAAAAAAAATACCAGCCTTTAAACTAAGAAAACCCCCCCAAAAAAAAATTAACCAACCAAAAAACCCCCACCTTCTAATACCTGGCACAATAGAAGCTAATTTCCATATTAAATCCAAATTAAACAAGATTTAACTAGGACACATCGTAGGTGAAGTGGCAAATTAACAGGCAAAGTCCAAAATTAAAGCCCAATTCTAAAGTGCTTAAATGCTCAGCAAATGAGATTGGATACTTTTTCATCAACAAGCCACGAATTTAGCATCAATTTAGCCATCAAAGTCCTCCCCTCCTGTATGAAGTAGCTGCATTCTGCCAGAAAAGCACACTCACAAAGGAATAGGATTTTACTCTTTTTTTGTAGCCTAAAGTAAAGTATGGTTTGCATCTTCTGTTCTATATGAGATCTTGTCTCCACCACTGAAACCCTTCACACAAGATTTCCTCTAACATTGCTGAAAGCAGAAAGAAATCCAGGATTTGTACACAGTCTAGCACTCATCACAAAAAGGTTTAAGTAGTTATATTAGTCTAATCTAACAGAATTTATACCTGACCTACTCCTTCTTAACGAGAAGAGTGCTTCACAGGGAAGGCTCTCTTAAAGAGAAGGTATATTCAGAAATCCAAGAAAGACAGAAAAAGTAGGTACACATTGTATCAATCCCATGCCTATGTGTATATGTTCTTTTTAATATTATACCTATTTCTTTTGCTATTTTGTAAGCTTCATCTGGTGTATTGGCAACCACTCCATGTGGAACAGAAATACCAGCCTCCTTCAACAGTCCCATGCTCAGGTATTCATGGAGTGATAGCCTCCTCTGTTGCTGTTGTTGCACTTGAAACCCATGATTATTGAGTATTCCTGGACTTCCAGCAAGTACCTGAAGGAAAAGAATAAAAAGAAAAAAAAAAGAAAACAAAAAGAAGAATGTGACTGTTGTGACAAACTAGTCTCTTTGTTTAGGTTAACAAAAGTCTACATATTAAACAGGTATACTTTAGTGTACCAGTGCAAACACGTGAACATTTAATCCTACCCTTCCACATTGGTCATTCATATCAGGTCTGCATTTGATTTTGTGAGATTTTATTGGGCAGGGGGAAAGAGCTGGTGAAACTACTAGCACTGACAAGGACTGTAACACAAAACAACAACAAATGCAAAAAACATTTGCTGCATTTTTTGCATTTCACTATATGCAAATAAGATCTTAATTTTATACACAAATAGAGCAAGAAACCTACTGAATTCAGCTAATCCATGAACACAGATGAGCACCAAAAGACTCACGGTAAAAAGATTACAAAAGAAACTTACATACAAAACAAACTTTTGCATTTATTTTTATTTTTTTAGCATGTACCATTGGCACAAGCACTGCAAAAATCAGCCTGTATTAGGGAATTTCTAACAAGCTGGATTTTTTTAGGCTTCATTTCACTTCAAATAAAGGAAACAAGCAGACGACACATGAGCTTTAGTACAGCATTGCAAGCTAGCGAACCGACACAGGGCCTGGGTAGCCTCCCAAGGATTCCTTCTCCAAGCAGGACGTCCTTTCCTTGGCACGACCGCAAGGAAGGGAGAGGCGCTGAGCGACCCGGCGGCCCCGGGAGGCTGCGTGTAACCGGAGAGGGGCACTCAGGGCGACCTTCCCCGGTACGTGGCAGCAGGAGAAAGGGGCAGCGGCGTCACACACCGTGTCACACACACTGCAGCCTCCCCAGCTCCTTCGTGTCACCGCTTCCCAGGGGTGCCGCAGCCAAAAACAAGCCCGCACCCCCGAATGGCATCCACGGGAACCAAGAGCAGAGCCTGGCGAGGTGCGAGCTGGAAGCAGAGCTTAGCTGGCACAGCCCGAGCTCTTCTAGGAGCAAGGTGACGGCGGAGATGGAAACACGGGGACTTCCAAGCAAGCTGGGGACGGGGGCGCTGGAAAGGAAGGGAAAAGGAACCACGCAGGGAAGACTTGCCACAAGCAACAACAGCGGCTGCGGGGGGCCGTACACCAAAGGTGAGCGCAGGGCTGCCGGCCCCGCCGCAGGGCAGGGCAGGGCAGGACGCGGCGGCAGCGGGCTGAGACGGACGCTCCTCTCGCCGGCGCTCCGCAGGGAGCGACCTCGACCACGAGCCCAGCCGGCCCGGCCCCGCTTCAGCCCCGGCCCAGCCCACCCCCGCTCCCGAGCGGCCGCTACCTTCCCCGCGGTGGAACCCAGCGAGGCGCGGAGGCCGCTGCCCCTCAGCCCGGCCGCCACCCGGCTGCAGATCATGGAGGCCGCCATGGCCGAGCCCCTTCGCCCTCGGGTGCCCCTGGCAGCGCGCACGCGCCGCTCCCGGGCCGGGGCGGGGGCAGGAAGCGCTCGCGCGGCCCCGCCCCCGCAGTGACGCCCGCCCGGCGGCGGAGAGGAGCGGCCCTGAGGGGCGCTGCGCGGCCTCGCGTTCTTCCCACCCTTTTTGGTTTTTATAAAGATTAGCTTTGCTCCGTCAGGATCCTAAATGACTTGTAATCCATCCACACAACCTTCCGACCACACCGGCCTCGGTTGGCACCCACGTCTGTAAAGGGAGGAAAGGAGGACAGCTCCCTTATGCCACGCCCACACTCCCTCCCGGTTCAGCCTCAGGATAGAAGAACTTTTAGTATTTTCACTCTGACGATTACTGTTTTTGGTTTCGTATCTCAGGGTGTTTCCGCGCAACGCAAACATATCCATTTTTCCATAAGACAAGGGAGAATTTTTTTTAAGTGAAAGTGGGCATGTTTAGATAGATATGAGGAAGAAATTCTCTGTTGTGAGGTTGGGAGGAAGTGGAACGGGTTTCTCAGAGCAGCTGTGGGTGTCCCATCCCTGGGAGTGTTCAAGGCCAGGCTGGATGGGGCTCTGAGCAACTTGGTCTAGTGGAAGGTGAGACTGCCTATGGCAGGGGATTTAGATAATTAGATAATCTTTAAGGTCCTTTCTAACTCAAACCATTCAGTGGTTCTATGACTGAAATGAGCTCTAGTATTTCTAGGTATTTTGCAGCCTCTTCCCCATGCCACAGCCCCCATTTCTACCTCACACAGCTCCATGCTGTACCTCCCACTCTGCAATTCATTGTCTATACTTCTGCAGTGGCCTTGACTCAGGGCACTACGGAACTGAATTAGGGGACAGGTGTCCCTGCAGCTAGTGACCAGACCTTGTGATTCACAAGGAGGCAGAGCTTTTTCCTTTAAAACAAAATGGTAATTAGGAAAATAGCATTGGCCTGGGAAATCGGAACAAGAATGTCCTCCATCAATAATAAGGTTAAAATGCAGTTACTTTCATACAGTATGAACATCAAAGCAAGATTTGATGTGAAGGAAAACCATGTCGGAGCAGTGATTCTTCTTGAGTATTGTAACTTGAATTATCCAATAAATAACTGGATGAGTTGTCTCTTTTTCTTCTGAAACTGAAAATGCATTATCATAACTTCTCCTTGGGCGAATATTGCAAAAGAGGGAGTCATACTGGTTATTTTGCTCCCGGTCCTCCACTGAGCTGGTGTTATTGTCACCTGTTAGCACTGCAGTGAGCTCTGCAGAGTGCTGAGCTCTGCACCTCTGTGTGCAGACACACAAGGTAAGAGTATGTGTCACTGAACCTGTAAGCAGCTGCAAAATTTTGATAGACCAATCAATATTTCCCACCATAGCTGATAAAATATTTCTTCTTGCCAAGAGGAAGGGAAGAAATAGCACTTGAACTCTGTGCTGTTTCTGCCCTTTGTACATACAGTGGCTCTTCACTAGTCACAAGACCTGCTGCAGTTCCATCACAGGACAGTACAGGGATGCCATTGCCACATACAAAGAAATCTTAACTCCAGGACACTCCCCAAAACGACCTCTGCCCTAGAAAGGATTTGCAACAACGTTTAGAGGATGTAATGGATCTTGGCAAAACTTTAAACCTTAAGCTTAAAAGCTCAAAGCTACTGTTCAGAGATAAATAGTGGCTGCAGGTTAGGAAATCAGACTTATATCCTGACTCAGTTGCTTGCTGCAGGGAAATTGGACAACTCTCTCTGGGCTTATAATTAATTCTTGGCTTAGCAAAAAGCTGTAAGACATTCAGATTACAACTACTACTGTATCTTCTTCTCACTAGGACAGACTTATCCTTCCAGTTTCAGGAAGAAGACGGTTTTTTACCTTATACATCAAAAGAAGAAATGTCACATGGTTGGCAATGTCGAAGGACTTCTAGAAATACTGAGGCAGCTGCTGCTATTAACTATAGTCTGATACATGGCTGTATGGAGAATTTTAATTATCCGGATGCTGTATTGTCTGATTTCCTTCTTGGCTGTGAAAACTCGTCTAACTGGACTGTAAAAACGCCTGGTTTTCTGTCTGATCACCAGTGCCACCATCTGGCTTGGACTGTCAGCACAAGGTGGCTGTAAGCCCAATTTAAAACCTTAAAAACAACAGTTCTTGGAAATGACACATTCACCTTTTCTTTACTTTGTTAGAGACACAAGAAAAGACAAAAAATCTTGGCTACAACCAGGCAAATTCCTAGTGAGTCCAGTATATACTCACTCAGGTTGGTATAGGCTCAGCCTCTTCCAATATCTGACCTGCAACTGCAGAAACTGCATGAGGAATGCACTGTAGGATTCCGGCAGATATCCAGACGTTTTGCTAAATCTCCAGAAAAAGATTCCATCCTATTCAAAGTTTAAAATTGTGATATTTCTTGCTAAAGTCAGAAAAAGATTTTTAACACAGGATCGAGGCCCTCTCTGAAAAGCTGTATTTAAAACTATAAAAGGTACATTACAAATGAGGTAGAAGGAGCCAAGAAGTTTTAACAGACAACAGACACACAATAAAGTATCCTGTTTGAGGCCAAATATAGCATCCTGTAAGGCTCAGGCATTATGAATAGACATTAATTTACTTTATTATGAATTTATCACATTCACGTAGTGACAATGGTGCAATCTGATTTATTTCCCAGATCTTGTAATCTACACTGGTTGATACGTTATAGTTGAAAAACATCAGGAGAGAGGGTCTTGCCAAGAACATCAGAATGAGGAAGTGAAAGCCTTTGCCAAGGCCATGAGTTCAGAGGGCAGGAAATTTCCAGGAAGAGAGTTATCAGGGCCTTAAAAAGCATCCCAGTACCTGTGCAGAAAATCACCTTGAGATTTCCAGAACACTTCTAGCTGAAGACAGGAGGGAAGAGCCCACTTTTTTGTTATGGTAGATGAGTAAACAGGTTTAGCTGATGAATCAGCCAAGGTCAGAGCAGAAAAACTGACTGAAGCAAAGTGAGAAGAATCCTTCAGTGGTGTCTACATTGCCTGACATTGTATGTCTCACAGATGGTGAATCCTCTCTGCATTGTTTGTCTGCAGGAGTACCATCATGGATGTCTTTGGACAAGCTGTAGGTTGCTAAGGGGACCCTCAGGCACAACTAACAACATGAAACTATTCACTGCACCCATTGCAATATGAACAGATTATTCTATCTCTCCTCCCAATCATACAGAAAATATAATCCAGGGTCCTTCCCTGAAGGTAGTCCAGTGTATCTCCTGCAAGGATTCTGATATTTGTGCTATCAAACAGGCATTTAATGTGTGCACTCTCAGGTCCGGATAGGTGCAGTTTTCTGCAGAATACAGTATGAACATAAAACACTAATGCACCATCTCTTCCCAAACAGGGAAGGCTCGTAGGTGAAAGGCTCAGTGAAAGCAAAAGGATTGCAAAAATGATCTTTCATGTCGCTAAACTGTGGAGCAACTTGCCACAGATGCTGCAAATGATGAAAATTTACATGGGCTCAAGAGGACTCTTGGTAGGTTAAAGAAGAGAAACAAGAAGAGGGTTAGTAAATACACAGAAGTCACCTCTGCCTTGAGAAGTCACTGAGCCACAGAGGGCTGTAAAATTGTAGTCAAAAAACCCTGTCATGATTTCTTGCCTACTGTATTCCAGACATCCATTCTGGACCTCCAGGTACTATCCTAGATAGATAAGGAATAGACACTTTTATATTCTTCTGATTCAGGGCTCCCTGGGATTGAGTACACCCAGAAGTTTCATCGAAGCTGAAGCACAATCCAGCTTCACTCGTTTATGAATTGCCCAAGGTCACTTAAAGTGTTAATGACAAAGCTACAAATAAAACACAATTGTCTCAGCATCTTCACTCATTCCAATGACTCAGTCCTGTCTGTACATGGCAAAGAAATAATTAACAAACAATGAAGACAGCAAACCTATAGTACAGCTCTAATTTGTCCTACTGCTCTTGCACACACCATTATTCTCTCCATATGCAAACATGATCAGAGGTGATTTACATTTCAACATAAAACCTATGTGTCACACTTTGCCTAATTTCCACTAATAATGCTTATGAAGCCATAATATTACAGAAAGCAATTATTTATGATAAAAGACAGCCATTTAATGAAAGCATGTGGTGTCATGGAAATAATTTTGCTAAAATAAAAGTGAGGAAACAGTTAACAATGTTACATTTTCGGTATCAGGGTTCAGGATAACAACCAGCTGTTTGAATGCAAGAGAAGAAAAATCTTTCAAGTTCAAGTTTCAGTCAGGATGCTGGCAGGACTTTGGTGGCATGCACTGCTGTCACATTCCATTCCACCCAGCTTCTGAATGCCAGCTTGGCAATGTAAAATATTTAAATATAATCCTTACATCTTCCAGTTCATCCTTCTGCTAAGCAAATGCGAGTATATAGTAAATTCCGCAGCCAGGGAACCATGTGTATGAAATTCTCAGAAAGATGGATGTTTTCTGCTTGTGCAGCTGCTTTTCAATAAACTGTTGTACAGCGTTATGCTTTTCTAACCTGCTTTCCTTATGTGTGCTCTTCTTAGGGAACAGCCATATAGTAATTTTAACCTGACATAAATCTGACCTGTCTCTAACATGGTTAGTCCCACCATTCTTGTTCCCAGCTGCTCTGACTCACTGCCTTCCTCATTTATTTACCTGAGCTGGAAGCTGCATCAGGGAACACATCCTACTAAAATCGTAATCTCTGTCCCAGTTTGCTGAGTCAGGTTTGGCTTTGTGCTGTGTTTAATCTGATCGAACTCTGTCCACTCCCTTCCCTGTGCCACCCACAGCATGCTAGAAAAGAGATTAATGAAAAAAAAATAGGGTTTTTCTGATCCAGATCAGCTCAGACATACAGTTCATTCAGTAGTAACACTTCAATCAATAAAAGCCTTAGCATAAGGAACGAGGGATTAGGCCTGAAAAATATCTGCCTCTTTTCCAGTAGCTGCTGGACACATGCTGGTTTAAATACACTATTTTAGATGTCTCACAGAAGTACTTTCTCAGATAAAATATTAATAAACAAGTTTATAAGTATAAATAAATCATAATCTTACAGGCTTTTCAACATACTACTGTGGCAGAGGATTTTGCTACTTTCTCATTCTTGGTTTATTCCCATATCTTTCTTCAGTGGATGTCTGTTCATCACCAAACTCTGAAAACCAGCCTATATTTATTTCCTGATCTTCAAAATCTGGCTGCATAGGCATGTCCTAAATAAATCCTGGAATGAAAGCAATTAGAACAGATTCAGACAACAAAATCTTTCTTTTCATAAAGTATTCTTTATATTAATGATCACAAACGTAAGGTGAAAAAATTGAAACAAATCTAAACATCTGTATACAACCAGATTTCAAAACCTTTAAAAAAATTAGCCATTTTAAAGTGTTGTAAAAGGGTAATACTTCACATCTTTGTTGTGATCAAGAGGATGGTAGAGAGGAAGGGAAAATCTTGGCATACTAACTTTGATGTGGCTTTTGTAATATCATTGTCTTTATAAAATATAAATACGGAAGTGATATAACTGATATGTCCGGTGTTTCATCTGGAGATTGGGATACTCCAGCTGTACTGGGGAGACAGATAAAAATGAATGAGCTTGGTTTATGAAAAATCTTGTTACCTTGGCCATTTGCCCAAGATTTATTTTTGTTATTACTTACTACTGGGATATAGGCTGACATCACAGTTATGCAGCATGGCCAAACAGTGTCAAAGGGCAAGCTTGCTTCTAGCACACCCAGCCATTCACTCCAGACATGCCCTTCATGTCAATGCTATCTGATGCTGTATTGAGCCACTTTAGGCAGTTAAACCCCAGAAAACTGATCCCACAAAATGTGATTAAGCTTCAGCCAGTTTGGCCCTCTGACCTTGATGTGTAAATAAAAACATCTGTACATGTGTATTTTAAAACTTTACAAAAAAAAAAAAAACTAAAACCAAACCAAACAAAAACAAGCAAAAGCAAACAAAAACCCAAAACCAATTTGAAAGGTCTGCAAATAAAAAACGTTCTGTACTGTGACCAATAGGCTAAAGAAGGGGAAAATATGACTAACTTTACAGTTGTTTATAAAGAAAATGAAACCTTGTATCTTGTATTTTACGTATCTCTGTAATTTATAAAAATGTGAGAATGAAGGTAAAGATTTGCCAGCAGAAACTTTTATTCTCTTTCAGTCAAGAGCTGTTATTCCTCCTGGGGAGCTCTGCTCAGCTAAAGCTTGTAGCTTCCTTTTTAAATAATTCCAACTTGACACTTCAGCGTCAGATTCTTCACAGACCAGAAAAGTCTGAACCAAAGAAGGCCCACTTTGTAAATTCTGAACAAATCTTCAGTCAAGGACCGACTGGCTCCCTGACCTTCAAAAACCGAGTCGTATCTTACTTTTTTCCAGCTGCCCTCATTTGCACAAATGCCTTTTGTATTCCGGTGACCCCACCAGTCCCTGCGCATTCAGAGGCAAGGAACGCCAGGCAAACAGGAGGACAGGGCACCTCTCCCCCTGCAGCCTGCCTTGGAACCTCGCCACCTTCCTCGCCACCAACGTCAGCACCACGCGCATCCTGCGCGCTCCGCACACCGCCCCGGCCAAGGACCTCCCAAAACCCGGGATCCCAAACCCTGATTGGCGGGACGGAGCCTCGCTGAGCGCCCGGGGCTGCCATGGGCGAGCAGGCGGCTCAGCCGCGGCGGCCCGGGGTCGGCGTGGGGGTGGTGGTCACCAGCGCCGCGCACCCCAACTGCGTCCTGCTGGGCAAGCGGAAAGGCTCGCTGGGCGCCGGCACCTACCAGCTCCCCGGAGGCCACCTGGAGTTCGGGTAGGAGCCCCGCGCCCTCCCTCCCCGCCCTGCCCTTGCCTTGCCCACCGTGCCCTGCCTGAGGCGGCCGTGCCTTCCCCTCCCCTCCCCTGCCTTGCCTTGCCCGCCCGCAGGGAGAGCCTGGCGGAGTGCGCGGCGCGGGAGACGCTGGAGGAGGCGGCGCTGCGGCTGCGCCACGTGCGGTTCGCGTCGGCCGTGAACGCGGTGTGCGCGTCCCAGCGCTACCACTATGTCACCGTGCTCATGAAGGGCGAGGCCGAGCCGGGCGCCGAGCCGCGCAACCAGGAGCCCGACAAGAACGAGGGTGAGTGACCATCCAGTTCCCGTGCCACGGGCAGGGACAGCTCCCACTAGATCAGCTGGCTCCGAGCTCCAGCCAGCCTGGCCTTGAACGCTCCCAGCTATGAGGCATCCACAGCTTCTCTGGGAAACAAAAAAGCTGCTCAGGCAGTATGACTCTGTATGCAACAGAGAACTTGTCGTTTCTATATGATCCATCTAGACTCGCAGAGGAAGAATTGTGTAACAAAGAATATCCTGAGTTGGAAGGGACCCCCAAGCATCATTAAATCCCATTCCTGGCCCTGCATGGGGAAACCTCAGCAATCCCACATTGTGTCTGAGACGGTTCTCCAAACACTCCTTGAGTTCTGTCGGGCTGCACTACGGAGCCTACTCCAGTGCCCCACCACCTTTTCCTAACACCGAGCCTAAACCTCCCCTGCCACAGCTTCATGCTGTTTCCTTGGGTCCTGTCTTACCTGTCTTAACTCTATACTCTGATTTTAATTCTTTTTCTTATTTTTCTTTTTTTTTTTTGTTTCCCCTACAGGCTGGGAATGGGTCAAATGGGATGAATTTCCTCCAGCAGATCAACTGTTCTGGGCCTTACGCTGTCTAAGAGAGCAAGGTTACAATCCCTTTTCAGAAGAGCTGGATCATCTAAAGGGGTACACAGGAAGTCACCAATTAGAGTAAAAACAAACTGTATGTTATGTAAACATAAAGGATATAAATCTAAAGGGCAGACTCACTTTTTTGGCATAGAAGAAACAAAGATAGAAAGTGCTCACCCTGCCCATGTGAAAATACTATCTTTCCCAAAGAAGAACATGCCAACTGTTTCAGTGCTCTTCCCATATTTCTCGCAACAGTTGTGTCTCGTTCCAGACCCATTTCTTGGTTTAGTAGTTAACAATTAATGTTTGCTTTTACAGAAAACTCAGTGTTGTATCTAGTTAATCTTTATATTGATGAACAGCCATTTGGAAGTCGGCACTAACCAGGGAAACTTACTTACTTAAAAGCAGTTGCAACAAAACTTACTCATTTAAACCTGCTTTCCTGTAATTACTAGACTAATTTTAAAATTTAGCCTTTTATTTTAGCTTCAGTTATGAAACTACTGTCATGAACAAAAGTTACATTTAATAGAGAGTGCCTTTTTTTCCTGCAGACAGCAGTATACACTCGAAAATCAAAAGAGTATTATAAATGTGAAAAGATTGTCATGATTCATTGCAGGGAATGAAAATTCCCTGACCCTTCTTGCCAGTTGCTTACATAACAAAGTTCTGTTTAGAGCCTCAGTTACACTGAATTTATCTGCAGGAATGTCTCAGATCTCTGCAATTGATCTCAATTTGTTACTGAACTCTTGGAATGGAGAGGTACCTACCCTACTAGGCTGACACAAATCTCATTTATATGTGTAGCTCCATGGCAAAAATCATACTTTGTGGCTAATAAGAGTTGTCAGTATTAAACAGCAGAGATGGGTGTAATTCTGTATGGCTGGCTACTGAGATTTGTTAAAATTGTGAATTTTCAGTTTGACTGATTAAATGACAGAGTTGTTAGTGAATGAAATTCACAGTACTCAACAGTACATACAAAAACAGGGAGTTCATATTTTAATTTTTCTAGAATCTGCAAAAAAACAATTTTGATTCTTTTCCAGCTGTAGTCACTAAGGTATCAGCAATTAATTTTAGGATACAACTTTTAAAGAAATCACTAATTGGCTCATTTTTTTCTTCTCAGGGTTCTTTTATAACACATCTCTTGTCTGGTTCCTTTAGATATACGCATTGTACAAAAATGTAAGATATCTTTAATTTCTTTTGAATAAAACACAGGCACAATACTGAGAGACTTAAATCGCCTGAATTGAATTCTCAGTTTTTAAAAAAAATCAGCTTGAGGGGTTTAAAGCTCTTCCTTACTTTGAACATACATTTTTTTAAATGGAGATGGCCCTTCTTGCTGAGAAATAGACAGAGTGATGAGGCATAAGGATGCTACTGCCCCTGGCAATCCTCCTGCTTAGAGTTTGAAGTATTAATTATGTGCAACTTCCCATAGGACAGACACCCATTCTCTGAAGTGAAGAAAGAAGCAACATTACATAGCAGTCTTGAAACAGGAAATATCACCAAAAAGTCCTTTGCTATTGTACCTTTGTAAAAAGCTTATTTTTCTATTCAAAGGTGGAGATTTGGTTCCTGAAAGCAACCTTATGTACACTGAACATTATTCCGTTCAGCTGTCAACAAAGAAGCTGTAGGAAGAGTTGACAGATGTCCTACCCATCTGTCACAAAGAATAATGAAGAAAAAAATTATTTAGTACAATTTTAAACTTTAAACAACATCTAGGTCCTGATGAGAGAAAAGGGACCGCTGTAAAATGCTCTGTCATGCAATAAATACTTTCTTGGCATATTTTGTTCATGTTTATATTCATTCTGTCTCTTGTACACAAGCAGACACTGAAATGAGGACACAAACAGTATCTCCATATGTCAGCATTTCTGTATCCTTTCTAAATTGACCGATTAAAAGACTACAGTGCACTACTGCAACCAGCTGTCAGCAATCCCCAACTTAAATAATTTTGTTTGTATGTATCACACATTTATATTTCCCACTCCTCCAGAAAATGTGGTTCTCAGTTGACTTCAGCTGCTAGGATTCAGTCCTTTCAACTAAGTCTTTATTTTGATTTTTGGTACTTTTGCTAAATCTATTATGTACATATCGAAGCCACTGAATAACAGAACAGTCAGTTACCATATCATGGTTCACTAAACTGTTTGTAACTGACAGAATCCACCTAAAATGGCATTAATTACCCAGCATTGAGAAACATCATTATGAACTGTACATAGCTTGGAGCACCTATGCAAGGAAACTGATTAGGATGCATCTAATTCCCAGAGTTTGATTTTATGCTAAGTGAACTGTGGGCAGAGTTGTTGCTTTACCTCTTTATGAAATGTAATATATTGGTCCCATTTAATTCTTTAATAGAGTAACTAACAACCCAGAAAAAGAAGTGGTCATTGCTTCAGTTCCCTCTAATGTTGGAAAACAAATCACCCATCTCCACAGTGTTTCAGCTGGTGAATTACATGATACATAGAAGAGTTTTGGGTAGACTGTAACACTGCACTTCCCATGAGTATTAATTAGATATTTCTGTATTTTGTTTTAAGAATGTCCTTGTAAGTTAGAAGATAAAAGAGACTGGTGAACTCTGTCTGTGTGATGTGTTAAGAGAGAGGCATTTAGAAAGAAAATAACAATTCCATTGTACAAAGCATTAAGAAACTCCACCTTGCAATACTGTGTATGATTCTGATCGTGCATGTTTTAAGACAAAACCTAATGTGAGCTAGAAAAGGGGTAGGCAAGGTTAACTAGGATGACTGAGACAGGACACATCTACTGGGATTAATGTGAATTAAAGAAGGAAGACATTGGAGATAAGCACACAAGAGGAAAACATGATACTGAATAAAGGTTACAATATGTATGTATATGAATAACTTTAGACTGTGAAAGAGGTGACAGTTTAATAACTCTGAAAATACTTCTATAAGGAACAGCTGAGATAAAACCAAATTCCCCATGTCTCTGCAAACAAAATCCACTGCCCCGTATTACATAACTGAATGTGACTGAAGTCCTTCTCCTTTCTACATCCTTACGGAATTTGTACATGTTGGTCACAGGTGGTAACATTACTGACAGCAATGTTTGAAAGATTACTTGAGCAAAGGAGGAATTACCTGATTCATCAGATACTTCCTGTGAGGAATCTACAAAATGGAAAAGGGAAGAGAACTGTGATCTGTGCTGCAGGAAGCCATGCTGCAGGACAGAAACCTGTAACTGTCAGGAGCAACAGTTCACATGACTTTTGAAATTTTATCAGTTACCTAAGAGAAAAGCAAACTCCTTAAGCAAAACAGAACAAGGAAAGGAAAGCCAAGGGAAGGGCTTTTGAAAAGACAAAATAACATTGCAGTTGATGCAGGAAATGCAACTGCCAAAGTAAACAAATTAGCAGATTCAAAGAAGTGAAAAAAATAGAGGTGACAAGAACAAAAAAAATCCTTGAGCACTTTCTTTCATCTGAAAGGAGCTAGATCTGCAGCATATCCCGAAGTGTGTCACCTCCAGGTCTCAGGACACTTAACCAAGTACTTGAGGCAGCTTTGTGGCTGGGCACTCGCTGCCTCAGGGTCTGCCCAGCTTTGTATGTACCTGGAAGGGCTCACCTGAAAAGGAAGGACAGGTTTTCCACTTCTGATTCCTCTTCAGCTGCTTCTAATGCTGAGTGGGCATTTTGCACAGGGAAAATGGAGTACAAACTTCTGAAACTCAATCAGAATTCAACCACATATTGGGATAAAATGTGCTGAGTACTGAAGTTACATGGCAACTCATCTAAGATTCAAGTTTGGAAAATTGAAGTTAGATCAAAGCTGAGTTTATTTATGACAAATCATTCATTATATATTACAGTAATTACAAACTCTTTTATTACACCTTATTGCCGTATTTTTGTTCTTGGTACACAGATGATCAAGAACATGGATTTAGGCAGTAACAAAAAAGATACTAAAATTACAAACTTCATGTTTCATTTTTGTGGCATAGAAAAGGCTATCATCAAAAGAGTAATCTTACTAATAAACATAGAAGGGGATTCCCCTTACACCTTTTTTCCCAAGAACTTATGTTATCTAACATATAGTAAATACATATATATAAATATATATTTACACATCTCTTGCAAACATACATTTACACAATCACTGAAAATCTGACATCTTTCTCCCAGCAGACAGCTCCCAGATATTTCTCCCGGCTCCCAGAACATCTAATAGGAAAAAACAAGTCGATAGTCCAAATTAGTCACCCTATTTCTGAGCCAGCTGTTTTCTTCTCCCTACACAGGGCTGCTGGTGTAACAAAAGGCTATTGCAGTTTGTGACAAACAGCATCTAACCTACCTTCTCCACAGGAAAGGTCTACTAGGGAAACTGTCCCCCTCATACCTAGTCTGAGTCACTGCTGCTGCTTGAGGAGTCTGTTGACATAACTTCTACATCATCTTCATTCTCTTTATTGTGTCCTGGAGGCTCCAGCATGAAGTCATTACTATGATTAGGAGGTAGCATGTTCATTGACATATCACTTGACTGCCAAGGATACTGAGGAGCAAGCACATCTGAAAAAAAAAAAAAAGAGGCACAATCAAGAAAACTTTCAGTTTTGTATATTGACAAATTCAACAAGACAGCTCAACCAGAACTTCAATTTAAAATCAAATCTTGAAATCCTTTTTGAATTTTGGACATATTAATCCCTCCAGTAACAGCTGAAAAACATCTCATGATGGAGCAATTCTCTAAGTGTTAACGTCTGCTCTGCCAGAGAGGCCCATTTATGCAGGTGGCTCTTGATAACTCACATAGTCAATACAGAGCTTTTCACCTTCAAAGCACTGTTTGAACTGACTTAGCATTCACAATTACTGGGAGTAAGGAAAATTAGCACGGTCTGTCAGTATGCAAAATTAGATTAAAATATTAGATTAAGAAAAATATTCAGGCAGACCATAAAAGTTCAGAGGAAAAGCCTTTATCTGAACAAGCTCAGAATGGAAGCCAGTGTTTTACATTGTTTACACAGCTTCAATGCTAGAACCAGTCTGTTATTAAATCAGGCTGAATGTGTGTGCTAAGCAGCCTCAAAGTTTGGAGGCTACCAAGCAGTCCAGAAAACCTACACATTCACTAAGGACTCAGTAACTGGACATCTCTGCAGGAGTCTCCAAAAGGACTAGGTCCCATAATAACCATTCTCAGGACATGCCTCCACGCACCAACAGATTCAGCATCCCTACTTAAAATGCAGCTTCAGCTTTCTTGTAAATCAATGTTTCCCTCTTACCTTGACAGTCTAGTTATGTGAGAGTTTAACTTGACAGAGGAGCCCAAAACTCAATTAACAACTCTACTGGAGGAGTTTAAATCTCACATT